TAAAAGGTCGTTGATGCAAACAAGGAATATTTCCCTGATTAATATTTTTTTGTTTGTTTTTGAATAAAGATTGAATTTTACAAAAAAAGTTCAAAACATTTTTGTACACCTAATATATATATAATATATAAGAGTGTCCCAAAACTCCCGCATTTGGAGTACACTACGTGATTCTTTATGCTAAAAGAAACAACTTTTTCCTTTAGTAAAATTGCGTGCGACGAATAGTTTTTACAGTGGATCAGATTAAAAGTAATGAATGAGCGCGCGTATGTGCGTAGCGGTCAAGGCTGGCGCGCGTTCTTCAGGCCGGCGCGGTCTGATCCTTGACGACTTCACGTACTATATTTTAAAATATGATAGTTTAAAATATGATAAAAGTTAACAAAATAAGTATTGTTTTCATTCTTTAACGATTTAATAAAAAAAATTGTCTAATTTCGTAACATTATCTCGAAATAAAAATAAATGTAAATAATATGGTGTATGAACTGAGCATTCTGTTATTTTAATTACTGCACAATTGCATATAACAATAAAAAAAATATATTGAATTTAACGAATTATTTAGACACTATTATAAAAAAATCAATTTTTTGACTTTTCGTGATTACGTACTCACGTAATTAATAAGTATTCATTAAATTCCGTATTTTTTTATTGTCATATGCAATTGCACATATGACAATAAAAAAATAATTAAAATAATAGAATGCTCAGTTTATACATCATATAATTTACATTTATTTTTATTTCCAGATAATGCTACGAAATCAGACAACTTTTATTAAATCGCTACGTAAAGGATGAATATAAATACTTATTTTGTATTATATTTTAAACAATACAGTACATGAAGTCGTCAAAGATTAAGTCCTAGGCCGCGCCAGCCTAAGGCAGGAGTCGGCAAGTGAGCACTGCTCGCAAGCGCTCAATGCCCGCGGGCAACAGTCGAGCGCGCTGGGGCTAGCGTTAGGCAGCTAGACGCAATAAAGTGAGGAGAGGGAATAGCAGGAACGTCTGTTCGTTGAACGCTATTCAAGGAGTAAAAAAATATTGTGTACAATTCAGATCCAGAAATAGCATAAATTAGTAACTATCTATATTTTAAATAAACCATTCTTACAATAATATTAAATAAGCAACTCATAACATTTAATTAATATTTGATTCATATTCAGTTTTCCGATATTATATACGATATATCAGGTGTTATCGTTTTGGCATAACTTAAACGAATTATTGCATTTAAATGTGAATCTGTTCGTGTAATCGCGATTTATTTAATTTCATAATAGAAAATAATTGTTCACATGAATATGTAAAACCGAACATACTCATTATTTTTGTAGCACGAGCATGTAGTCGAGGAAAACGTTCTTGAGATATATATGAATAAAATTGTACGATGTCAGTAATTGTATAAAAACGATTTTTTTAAGAGCAGTGTCACATTTTAAATATATTAATTCTAATTGTATATCTGCGGGAATAATATAATATTAATATCAACAGTAAAAGGTATCATAAAAATAAGTAAGTCTTCTTCTAAAACATGCATTTCCCTAAACCGACAATCGAATTCATTATGTAATTGAAGTGAATTTATATATTCTTCATATTACTTATCTTGAATGTGCATGGCAACAAATAATAAATTTGAAAAATGCAACAACTATCGAGATTGAAATTGATTGATCCATAAATTTCATTAGGATTGATCTATAAGTTTCATTTTAAAAGATCTAATTTGATCAAACATAATGAATAATTAATTTATCTTTGTAAAGAATAATTTAATGTATTATATTTAAATGATTAGTGATATCCGCAAGAATGCGAGATTGGCAATCCAGGAAGGCTGTGATAGTTCAGACACAGACTTATCTTTCATTTCTAAAAATATAATTATTTCTTCGCGTAAATGAAAGAAACGCTGAAGAGTTTTACCTCGACTAAACCATCGTGATTCGCAAAAATAGGAGATGTTGGTATAATCTGACTCTAAAGAAGATAAAAATTCGCAAAATTGATGATGATTCAATCCAGTAGTTCTAATAAAATTTAAAACTTTGATTACAATTTTCATTACTTCGTCATACTTTAAAGATTTTGTACATAATGCCTCTTGATGGATGATACAATGGATCGAATATATTTCTTGTTTTGATTGTGCTAGTTTAGACTTTAAACGTCCTACGAAGCCCATATTGTGTCCAATCATTGCTGCAGCACCATCAGTAGCAACTGAAGTTAATTTATCCCAAGATAGATTTTTGTTTTCTATTGCTTCTTCAACGCTAAACAATATATCTTCTCCAATCGTAGTACCTTTCAGAGGTATTATATTTAAAAGTTTCTCAGTAATAGAGAGGTTGCTATACACACCACGAATAAAAATTAGCCAATTGTGCAGTATCAACGATATCAGTACTCTCGTCGAGAGCTAATAGAAAAAGCAATAAAATTGTTTGCTTTTAGTACCAATTGTCGCTCGAGATCTT